CCTCTGACACCCCAAAACAACACAGAGACCCCAAAACCTCGGGGGGGAGTCCCAGGACGGATTTGGGGGGTCCCAGGATGGATTTTGGGGTTTCATCCCCCTGGATTTCCCCCCCAGATCTCGGGGGAGCTCCAGTTTGGGGTCCGGTGGGTGGAGCAGCAGCTCCTGGAAAAGGGGGAGTTTTGGGGATCTCTGGAGTTCCTGGGAGACCCCAAGCCCTGCCCAGACCCACCTGGGACCCCCTAAAAACCCTGAGGGGGGTCCCAGGAGGGATTTGGAGGGTTCAACCCCCCAGAACCCCCCAGATCTCAGGGGAGCTCCAGTTTGGGGTCCGGTGGGTGGAGCAGCAACTCCTGGGACAAGGGGGAGTTTTGGGGATCTCTGGAGTTCCTGGAAGACCCCAAACCCTGCCCAGACCCCCCCGGGACCCCCAAAACCCTGGGTGGGTGTCCCAGGATGGATTTTGGGGTTCACCCCCCTGGATTCCCCCCCCATCCTGTAGGAATTCCCAGATTCTGAAGCAGCAGCTCCTGGAAAAGGGGGAGTTTTGGGGATCTCTGGAGTTCCTGGGAGACCCCAAACCCTGTTGAGCCCCCCCAGGACTCCCCAAAACCCTGGGAGGGGTCCTGGGATGGATTTGGGGGCTCCCGGGATGGATTTGGGGGTTTCACCCCCCTGGAATCCCCTCCCATCCTGTGAGAATTCCCGGCTTTCCCTGGAAAAGGGAGGGCTCAGACATTTCTGGGGAGAGGGGCTCCAAGATTTGGGGGGGACTCCGAGGATTTTGGGGCGTCTCCCAGGATTTTGGGGAGGTCTCCCAGGATTTTGGGGGGGTCTCCTAGGATTCTGGGGGGGCTCCCACGATTTTGGGATAAAAACGCTATTTCTGGTTGTTTTTTTTTCCCCCTGATGGTGGAAAAAAAAAGTGATTTATTTTATTTTTTAATAAAATGCGAATTCCGGTGTTTTTATTGAATATTTTTGGGGAGGGGGCGTGTCACCCACTTGGCCCCTCCCCCACCGGGTCACGTGACCCGGGTGTCACCCTTGAGGGGGTCCCTTGTCACCTTTGGGGGGGTCAAATGTCACCTTTGGGGGTCCTGTGTCACCTTTGGGGGGGTCCCCACCCTGGTTTTTGGGGGGGGGGGG